GTCCCACATAAAGTAGAAGATGGCTACGGATGTTAGCTCAGGGCCAATCTTCCTCAAGAAAAAAGGGGAGGATTGGCATCAGATGTTAGCTCAGGGCTAGTCCTCCTCACAAAAAAAAAAAAAAAAAAAGAAGAAATGCCTTGCTTCAAGGACCTTCAATAAAAAAGGATTACTCAAAGTATATTTTTACTCACAACATATGTAAACTTTCTCTTTGTGATTGTTTGGTTATTTTCTTTTAATCAAATAAAGCTTACTTTACTAAAGAAAGCTCTCACTCATCAATACACTTAAAGGAAAAGCAGTGGGCACAAGGAAGTCTGAAAAGAAAGCGATATCTAATGAGAAAACATTATGAGTCAGAAACATGTGCTATATCCACTTCAATTATTTGCCTTTTATGTGGGTAACAATATAATGTACTCATAAACTGTATCATCTTTTCCATATCCATTATAATATTTATAGAAATTTAGTTAAGATTGCAAAATAAGTATCATTTATAAGGTGCTTCTATGTGACTGGCACTATATTGGACTTTTTTGAATACACGATTTCATTTAATCACAACAAGGTAGAGATCATTAACTCTTTAGAAGGTAAGGAAACTCAGGCCCAAGGTCACCCTTTTAATCAGTAAAAGAGCTAAGATTAAAATTCTGGACTGTCTGACTTCAAGTATATCCTCATAATCTTTATGTTCTTATTTTTTAATTTGTTCCTTTCACATTTGAAGAAACTGTAGGTGCTACACCTGGAAAAGGATTTAAAAAATATGCTGCAATAACAGTTGTTAGTCGTATTTATTAAGCAGTGAGCTATTTCTGTACATTACCTTAATTTTTAAAAAATAATTTATAATTAGCAGGTGAGAAATTGATTTCAATTTATCAGTTAAATTGCATTTATTGGTTAGATAAGTTTATGGCTAAGTTGATTTTTTAAATAATCACACTGCTTCACAAATATTTCTCATTAGAAAGATCACAAATATTGCGAACATTGATTTATTGGTACTTATTTTTAAACTTTTGGCAAGTTAAGCTTGCACTTATTAATTTGCAAATCTGAGAGAGACAGTGACTGCCATTTTCTCCTTGTCCTTCATCACCTTCTATCATCACTGACAATGTAAAAGAGTTTCCCATTTCAGATCGAGGCCCAGAACAGATGGACGTTTATAAATGGGCATTTGGGAAAAGTCCTGGGAAACTGGAAGGATGGTGATCACTTCTCTCCTTTGCCTCCTATCTATGGAATGAAATGAAAGGGAAAAAATCGATAAATTTGAAAAATTGTGACAACTTGGAAAAAACACTTCTACTAACAGTCATCATCTGAAAAAAATGTTTACAACGTTAATTTAGAAGTCAGGGATTTGGAGCTCTGAGCATACTTTTCCATATGAAAGAAATTGTTAATTAATGTTGAGCTCCCTAGAGCAGCCTTCTGCCCATGTTTAACCCAGCACTGCAGAATTTCGAGGCATGAAGTTCCCACCCAGTACCATGTTGGGATGCAGTTGGGGTTGCCTGTTTTAGGTTTAAATCATCTCCCAGGCCTGGTCAAGATAATCAAGACTCCTAGTTCTTGACAACTGAGGGGTCAGCACTGGGAAGAACCAAGCAGACAAGCAGAGGATGGTTTGAAGAGCTCTGGCCACATTGTTTGGAGGATTGTCAAAAGGTTCCAGAACTGAGATAAGTCAATTACCAGGTTCAAAATCATCCAACTGCCATGTCTATGGAAAGATGCCCTAAGTCTGGTGCACAGCCAGAACTCAAGAAGATACTAAATGTCACAGGGGAAACAGGCAAAATTTCAGAGATTATTCTAAAGGGCAGGTGCCTCAAAGGTGCTCTCTCTGAGAGGGGGCAGCCCTCCACCTTGGTCCAGCTTCTTCTGGTGCATAAGAACCAGGACCACACTGAACTTGCCTTCTCTGTCTTCTTGATATGAGTTCATGTGGGAAGACCGGGCTGATGGGACTGGAGTTGATGTCATTCCGTAGAGAGAAGAAAGGAATCTTCTTTTGTGAGGTGGATGACGGGTCTTGCTACAGCTGTCCCTGCACCTGTCATGAGTCGCTCCTCACTCTCTGTACTCATAGGGCCCTCACAGAAGGAACTTCAGCTTTAGTTTTTCTAACTTCTCTCTCTCCAGCAAGAATGTTCACACATGATCTTACAGTCTAAATTAGAATGCTTCCAGAGGTAAGAAAGGCATTGCTTCACAATATATACCTTTAATTCATTCACTCATTCTCCCTCAACAAACATTTAACGATCACCTTGATGGGTAAAGATGCCATGAGATACAAAGATAATCAAACTAGCCTTCTAGCATTTAAGACGTTTACATAATCACATCAATATTAAGATATATAATTAAATTTCAGTTAAAGGTGGTAAGTATCCATTATGGGCTGCATTGTGTCCCTCCAAAATTCATATGCTGAAGTCCTAACCCCCAGTACCTATGTCACATATAATGTGACTGTATTTGGACACAGGGTCTTTAAAGAGGTAAAATGAGGTCATTGGTGGGGGCTAATCCGATATGACTGGTGTCCTTAAAAGAAGAGATTAGGACACAGATTCACAGAGAATTAAGACCATGTGAAGACACCAAAAGAAGAAACCCATCTACATGCCAAGGACAGAGGCTTTCAGAAGAAACCGACTCTGCTGACACCTTGCTCTTGAACTTCTAGCCTCCAGAACTACAAGGAAATGAATTTCTGTTGTTTAAGCTACCCAGCCTGTGGTACTTTGTTATGGCAGCCCCAGCAAACTAACGCAGTGTCTCTGCACAAATAAGATACTGATAGAATTAGAAGATAAGAGAACACTTCACACACACACACACACATAAGAATTGAGGTTAAATGAGTCTTTAGAATCTGCCTCATTTTAAAACATTGGGACATTGTTTCACTTCCTTAAACTTCTCCCGTTTGGAAAGATTTTCAACTGTGTTCTTGATCGTATTTGTAAATTCTTTTATTACACTAGAATATAATCTTTTGGTATGTGGAAACTGAATACCGTTAAAGGGTCTAGGTGTTTGCTTATATCTTCTCTCATGCGCTGAGTTTTGATTCCCCCTGACACCCTTTCTTTACATCTCCTTGTTAAAGAAAACAAAAGAAAACAATGGTTGACTATGTGTGCTGTTTCTGTCAGGTTAGCAAAAGTGTGCATCTTCCCTCAACTGTTCTGTCTTTTGTTCAGCTTATGTTCTTGTCTGCTCTTAGCCAAAATACATATTTTTTTATTGTCTTGAGCTCTTCTTCATGGATCTCAAGACGGTCGGGGCTTTGGGCTATCCTGACTGTATTGTGCAGACTGCCTGCTCCGCTTAATACATTCCATTCACACTCGGGGTTTAGTGACCCTCATGATCTCTGTGTCGATTCTTCCTCTTTTTTTTTTTTTTAACATGTTCTTTTAAATGCTGATCTCAGAGAGCTCTGTGTATAGTCAAAATGTTCTCTTTTCTTTTTCTCTTCCACGGAATTATCAAAATTTTGTCAGAATTCCATTCTAAAAGATCCCACCATTCTTTTGTATCAAATTTTATTCAAATTTGTTTACATAATTAGAAAATGAATAAAATGAATGTGTGCTCACTGTAAAATTGTTTTTCAATCGTCCAGAAGTTTAGAGAACAAAAAGGTACATTTCCCCATGCCCATAATAATTCCAATTTCATACTCAGAGATAACTTGTCATTCATACTTTGATGTTTCAATATCATTTTCTAGGCATTTGCTGAAGGACGTAATCAAGAGGACCTCACAGCTTACCTGCAAGCTAGACCCCCTAGAGAGGCTCCTCATCCCCTCCCCTGGTCTTGGAGTGTACCTTCTGCCTACTGTTCCCACAATAGGAGCTGTTTCAAGGACACAGCCTTAAGAGAGCAATCTGTTGTTGGGACCTCTGGCTGGTGTACGTGGCTGAACCCAGTTAAGGCCTCTATATAAGCTTGCTGGCGGGCAGGTGTGGAGATCTACTCATCTTGTGGCGGCCCAAGACAAGCCTAATATATAAGTTCCCTTGCTTATTAAACTTGCCACCTATCATTTGGAGTGGGCTGCCTCTTTCTTTGGTCTTTCTTTGCCCTCCCTGTATGGGAGCCAGTTTCAGATTTTACCTGGGGAACTCTTAAGGTTTCAAACCAACAGCACTTAAATATGTCAGAAGATATTTTATCTGGATGTCTAAACAGCAGAAGTTTTTAAGACTTTATAGTCTGTTCTTTGATCATCACTTTATAAACCAAAGTGTCATAATTAAAGGAATTATAGTGATGATGCTATTATGCTATAGTGCATGATGCTTGGTGATGGTGCTGCAAATGCCCAGTTGGTGTTGCCATGGAATCCTTATTCTTTGTGATATAGCCAAAGGGTGTGGAACCTCAAGAAGGAGTTGGATTAATGTCCCAGGATTGTTGCTGGAACGACGTAAGTTGTCTAGGATTTACAGTCATTTATATATTTGGACAGTTAGAGCCCTTTTTAAACCACTGAATTGTCCAAATATTTATTATATATTCATATCTTCTTTCTATTATAGTCCACTATGGATTTAAAATATCTAAATGTTGGAAATAGCATTAAACCAAAACACGGTAAATCTTGATTGTGCATAAAGATACATATATGGGTACCTTTTTTTGGCTTTTTTAAAATCTAACATATCCATTGTGAAATTGTTTTCATGTCAGTACTTCTAGCTCTCCCTCACACTATTTAATTGCTGCATTGTGTAGCCTGTGTATCAGTTGATGTTGTAACTGGAAACATGTGTGGGCAGCATTAAGTGAACCAGCAAGAGAGGGTAAAGCATCCAGGTTTTAGCAACAGAAGAAAGCAGTTACCACCTCAAGGCCTGAGGAAACAGGGAGAGGAATGTTCTTTGTTCCTGGAGCCCAGTGAGAGCTGTGGCCATGGGAGGCCTGGCCAGACTTACCCAATGGGAGGTCTGGCCATTGACAGAGAGACGCAGTCACTCCCCACCACAGTATGGCAGAGAAGTGGCAGTGGAGAAATACCAGAAATACCCTCTCCCTCTCCAATCCTGCTGATGCCTCCAGGGACTGATCCAAACCAAAAGCCAGAAGGTAAGAGAACCCCAGGTCAGCTTCCCAGGAATCAGAGCAGGGCAGAGAATGGATATAGAGGGGCAATCACAGAATAAGGAGCATTGCATGTATATAAGAGTCATTCTAAATATATTGATTGAGAACCTGCTATTGTGCCAGGCTTTGTTCCAGACTCAGGCGACACAACAGAGAATGAAACAGACAAACACACTGCTTTCAAATAGCTTACGATTCTAGGGTGGGGGGAAAGAATAAAACTAACACATATACATATAGTGCTTACCAGATGCCAAACACTGTTCTAAAGGCTTTCCATATATTGCCTAAGTAAATAAATTAATAGCATAAACTTTTTAATCATTCTTTAACAGTGGAACATTTCATGTTGTGTCTGTTTTTTTTCTTTTTCTTTTTCTTTTTCGATTACCAAAATGCCAAAATAAATTTTCTTGAGCACACGTATAAGAGATCTGTGGAAAAGAATTCTAGACACGAAACTGCTGAGTCAAAGGGAAGGCATTTCTTTTTAACTTAAAAAATTCAGTCAAATAATTCTCCAGAAAACTGCACCAATTCACATACTCACCAGTGAGAGTGCCAGTTTCCCCAGATCCTTGCAAAACTTCACTATCATCTCATTTTTTCACCAATCATCGGAGCTGGAAATGGCACACCATTGTTGTTTTAATACGTTTCCCTTGATTACCTGTGAGATTGAGCATGTCCCTTCATATTTATTAGCATTAGTAATTTCTATTTATGAGTTGCTTGTGATAATATTTGCTCCATTTTTTTATTGGATTTCCTGCCTTTTTAAAAATTAACAGTTTAACAATATACTAAGGTTAGTAATCTTTTATATAAGTTTCTTTTTTTTCTTTTACAAACATTTTCTCCAATCTGGTGCTGGTCTTTTTGCTTTATTTAAGATATCTTACATTCTACAGAATATGCTACTACTCGTTGAGTTACATTTCTCAACTTTTTCTTTGATGGCCTTTGGGCTTGTAACATATTAGGAGGCCTAACTGAGGGGAATAAAGATTTTTCTCATCTTTTGTTTTTTTTTCCTAACAACGCTGTGAACTTCTAAATATAGATATTTAATTTATATGGAGTTTCTTTTTGTATATGATGAGTGATAGAATTATAACATTAATTTTTCCAATATGAATATCCAGTCATTACACATTATATACTGAATAGCAAGCCTTTCTCCCCAATTATTTGAAAATACCTTTTCTGTTATAAACTAGAAGGAATTCCTTAATGATGAATCATATTTGCAGTCCTGAGATAAATATACTTGGTTATGTTATATTAGTCTTTTCACACAATAAAGGATTTAATTTGTTGATTTAAAAAAATGTAGTTATGTTCATATGTGACACTGGGCCATTATTAGGTTTTTGTGATACCCTTGTATTATTAGATAGCCCTGTATTATTAGATTAATTGGTACTATTGGATTATTAAATTGTATTATTAGATTATTAGGTTGGTAGCCTTGTGATGAGTAAGTAAATTTTAATCATTTTATTTACTTTGAAATCGCTTAAATAACAGGAATTATTAGACAATTCTTAAGTGTCTTACAGGATGATTTGATTAAACTCACGAGCTAAACAGATGTCATTTAAAGCAGTGCGGCTTTGAATACATTTTCATTTTTTTTTTATTTTGTTGTTGGTTTATTAAGGTATTTTACTTGTTCTCCAGTCATTTTTTGGTCATCATATTTTCCTAAAAAATAATTATTTCTTTTAGATTTCCAAATATATTGATATAAATGTGCACATAATATTTTCTTCTTATTTTTCATTTTCTGAGCATCTATAATTATATTGTATTTCTTTTTCCTAATGTAGATTATTCGTGAATTTTTTTTCATGTTAATCAGACATGCTGGCATTTTTAAGATTTTATTTATTAATATATATATATTTTTTTAAATCCACTTTTTGGCTTTTTAAATCACATATACTTTAAAAAAATTTTTTCTATCTTATGAAGCCTGTAGTTATATTTGTTTAGTCTGTCTCTCTACGTTCTTCTTGGAATTGTTTTCTAACATCTCTAATTAAAGACTTAATCTATTAATTGTTTATTTCATTTCCTAATAAATGCATTTAAGGTTATAACTGTTTTTCTAAGAACCAATTGGGAGGCAGAGGGGGAGAGAATAAATTGTTATTTAAATATTTTCCATAATTACTTATATCAGAAAATGTTAAAATGGAATTTGGGGCTGATACTCACAAATATTAGAAACTACATCTCAAGGTGAAGTGGCAGACCCACAATGCAGAATTTTCAAAGGTGTTTGTGAAGTCCCTCACCCACATCTAGGATATTAAAGAGTCAAGAGTTGAGTTTGGAAAAAATTGTTGAAGAGAATTTCTCTAGGTTGAACCCCGCTCTAAGTCACAATCTCTCTCTCTCTCTCACAAGAAAGAAGAGTGGGGGTGTGCTACCCCCATCCCCACATCCATAGAAAGGGGATTGGGGGTAGCTATTCAGAGTGTAACCTGTATACCCTGCAGTTAGAAGGACAATAGTAGTAGACTGAGTTTTGAGTCAAGGCTAAGAAGCTAAAGTGCAACATACTGGCTGAAGTGACCTCTGTGGGAGCGAAGTGGTGGCCTGAAATTTGATAGGAAACCGCTCTTCCAAAGCCTTGGGGAAAAGACTTGCAATTTCCATGAACCAGACATTTCTAGGGAGGCAGTAGGGCCTCTCTCCCAATGTCCTCATCCACCCATCCCAGCTAGTTAGAGGAGTCAGTTAGCCAGAAGGGGAGAAGGAGGAGAAGAGATAGGGGAGGAAAGAGAGAAGGAGTCAACCGGCCTCCTTTCCTTAGATGTTCACCTGCAGTAGGACCTAGAGCAGAGAGGAGGAGACGCCTTCAATCAAGATTAGAGTTCTTGATGCTTACACACAACTGGATGCTTCAATGGCTGAATTGAGACTCTGACAAATGAAACAGGGATTATTTCTTTGGTGTAAATCATGAGGCTGCCCAGTTAACGTGAGCTGGGAAAAGGGGAAAAATAGCCCCACTGAACAAATGCAAAAGGACAATGAGATGCAAAATAGAGCCCCTTGATGACTACATCCCATGAGTCATGTTTGTTCACATTATGGTTACACTGCTTGACCTGATGGTTCTGAGAGGAAGTGTTAACATCTCCCATTTTGGTTATAGCTTTATCTACTAGTAGTTATATGTCTCATCAAGTTTGCTTTGCATATTTTAAACTGACGTGGCTAGAAGAATAAAAGCTCCTGACTGTTATAAGTTCTTAGTAAAATAGAACTTGTGTCATAATAAAACAGGCCTCTTGATCTAAACAAATAATCCTCATATTGAATTCTATTTTTTTCTTATATTAATATTGTCACATTAGTTTGTTTTTTAATTTTGTTTTGTGTTTTGCTGAGAAAGATACACCCTGATCTAATGTCTGTGCCAATCTTCCTCTATTTTATAAGTGAGTCGCCACCACAGCGTGGCTACTGACAAGTGGTGTAGGTTCATGCCTGGGAACCAAACCTGAGCCGCTGAAGCAGAGCACGCCAAACTTAACCACTAGACTATGGCACTGGCCCCCTATTTTTTAAAATAAGGTTTCCTTTGGTATTTTTTTCCATCCTTCATTTTTAAACTTTGTGTCATTTTCTTTGGGATGTATTTCTTGAAAATAGGATTTAACTAATCTTGTTTGATGTCTCTATTTGTTTTTATTCTGTTTCTCTGTTTAACTTTTTTTACCTAATCCAATGATATCTGTCCCATAGGAAAATTTAATCCTTCATGTTTATTTTTATTACTTTTGATTTATTTAATTAATTATTTTTATTTATTTCAATATAATGAGACTTCAACATGGTAAATTATTTTAGGTTATTAATTTGTCATCTGATCTTGTTGCCTCAGTTGTTCTCCTCTTGAGGTTTGGGTCAGGATTCTTTTTTAAGTGATAATACACAATTCAAAACAATATAAGAAAAAAATGCACATGTGTTCACAGAAAGGCTGAAACGAAGAAAACACAGAACAGTGAAAAAGAAGCTGGCCTCAGTGTCGAAAGAATATCAAAGTTTAAACCACGTCAGGTAATCTCTTCACATTCCTCTTCACATTCCTACTACCAAGTTATTTTCCTCTCTTTGTTGGTGTCATTCCCTCAGGTTTCTCCTCCATGTGGCTCCTACTTGAATAGTGATACCTGTAGGCTCATATTCCTATAACTTACAGTCTTAAGGGAGAAAAAAGGGTCCTTTCCATCTCCTCCTCAGTAAGACAAAGTGCAGGAAAAGATTCAGATTGACATAGTTTTGATCATGTGTTTGCTGATCGACCAATGATTCTTGCTTGGGATTTGGGTAACCATGACTAGAGAGAGAGATGCTATTAATAGAAGGACAGGGGAAGGAATTACAATGCAAAGACAGACATCATGTCCATTAGGCCTCACTCATTTGGGGTCAATCTAATTTTCTCTAGTAGTTTAGGCATTTTATAATCTATATTCACTATCTTCATGACTACATATTTTAATTATTTTTTTATTTACATATAGATTTTTTCAGTATCTGTATCCAAATGCTAAATGCAACAGAAAGTTTAGCATGATTTCACATCCCTGCCATGTTAATATCACGTGAGTATCAAAAGTTTCAAATTGTTCTCAATTTTATAAGCTACATTCCTATAATTATTTGTTTTAACTATGCTCTTCCTGGCCCATTTATCCTCAATAATAGTAACTTTGTCTGCATTTACCTTGCTGTTGAAAATTATCAACCCAGCATGTGGTGTTGAACTTCATTAATACGGGACCACTAAAAGAAATTACTTATGGGGCATCTGCAATGAGGTTGTTAGTAGGAAATATATTTATATAGACACTTGTCTATAGTAACATATACCTAAACATATATTAAATATATGTATAAACAAACCATATTCTAAGTTCTGGATCAGAATGCCTACTTCAGAAATCTCTACTCACAGC